TTAGTGAAAAAGAAATTAAACATTGCCTGTGGGTCAGAATCCTTCAACCATTCAGACTTAACTTAAAGCCAAGTTCAAAAATTACACTGCATGGCTGGTGGAGATGTGGTATTCCAGGAGCTCTAACATGCTATATCATCACATTTTAAGTAGGGCTACACCATCTCCCAATTTTCCAACAGACAGCACTAAGCAGCAATTAGGATCACAGATGCATACTTTGAACTGCCTCCTGTAACTCTAATAAATACAATGGCTCCAAACCACTTTTTTTGGCAGTAGAAGCTGAAAAAAAGTTTTGCTTTAAATATACACGGTCTATGGAAAAGAAAATTTTGGATGTACTCAGCAAGATGGATGTACTCAACAGCCATGGCTTATAGAAGGAAAAAAGAATAATTTTTTTACTTTAGCATATGTTTACTACTTATTATTATTACTAATATTATTGCTTCTAGACCTCAGTGACTCTTCTAAAGCCAACAGAAGTGTGTAATTACTCAGAAATTTCTCACACATAGACCACTGTAGAATATAAACATGCTTTTCTTAGTCTTCATTCCTATTCACCTTACAAGTAATTCATTGACTAGAAAAGCCTACAAATCACTAACTGAAAGCCATTTGATACTGTCTCTTCTCTCTCTGATACTTCCCTGGAAAATACCGTTTATTCATTAATATTACAATACACGGACCTGTTCAATAGACTTAGTACTTATTCACTGAGTATCCCAAGATGTCTATAAATATTCTCCAACCCTGGAAGATCGCTTAAACATATATTTAAAGAAAAATATACAGTGTCAGATAAATATCAACATTAATAACTATTTTTGAATCTCAACCACTACTCTGAAGCACAAACCACCGGGGGGGGGGGGGGAAAAAAAAAAAAGGACAAAAAAAAGTCAGGTCTCGGCACTTCATGTTAACTTGTCTTCAGGACCGCTATGAGTTAAGCAGATGATACAGCTTCTCAATCGCAGGCAGAGTTTTAATATTCGGATAACTGTATTTTAGAAAATTACTAGGCCTGTCCTATACATGCTCTGTACTAGCTGCACTTTTTTTGGTCACAGTGTTTCTTAATCAATGTCTGGGATGATATTTAGTTATTATTAAGAGAGTAGTGGAAAAACACTTTGGAATAGAGATGCTAATTTTTTGCATGTTAATTTATAGCTACAATCTGTTCCAGTTAAAACCAACTAGACATTTACAAGATTGGACTTGCAAATGAATATAATTAGTAAAAAAATGGATTAAACTTCTGATAAATTCTTAAGTCACATGTTCACTTGGTACTTTATTGCTAGAATTTTAAAGATGAATCAGTTTTGACCTATGGTTTTTCACAGTTATATAAGAATACATTAAATTAATCCTAAATATGTAGTAAGTGTACTGTGCTATGCTGAGTTGCGGAACAACTTGTCATAACAATGCTTCCTCTTATTATTTATTTTGCATATTCCATGGAGATAATATTGTCTTTTTTCCACACTTGTGCTGCAATAAATATCTGTCTATCGTACACAGTTTGCTTGCAATTAACTCTGTAGCTTGGACTGAGCCCTGAGAACAAGGATGCCTGTTCTCCTGGAGTGAACACTGGTGTTTCTACTGCAGGGAATGAATTTCCAGTTTTCTTAAAAGGACTCAACATGAAGAAGCTTGTTTCACTTTTATGCAACACAGTCATTCTGCAATTAACATACACCTAATTACGACTGTTTAGAACAAATGCAAATGCTGCTCAATTAAAATTCAAGCCTGGGCTACAAATGAAACTTCTAATTTTTGTTAAGTTGCAGTAATGACACCAGGTTACTGCAAAACGCAGAATGTATTTGTTTTGGTGCCGCTATTTCCTTCCTTTACTGCAACCTCCTGCCCTCCCATTCAGGATGCTGAAGCCAAAAAATTAAATTGGAGTATACTTTAAACATCAATTAAACCTGAAAACTAGTGTCATTTCATGCACCACACTGTACTAAGGAGAACTACACAAACAGGTATCACGAAGCTATTCTCCTAATTAGGCCATAAAATGGAAAAGATGCACATGAGGAATCAAAGCTACTTAATGTGAAGCTATTTTGCCACTAAGCTTCTAGGCCTCTTATTGTGATATTTAATACAGCCCTAGATTCTAGCAATTAAGATTCAGCAAAAGATTAGAAAGCTTTGTTGATCTCTCCCAGTCCAAATGCCTCGTTCTCATTCAAGACACTAAAGATAAACATTTTGCTTCCAGTCAGCTATTTCAATTATTGGGGTGGGGGGAAAAAAAGGGAGGGGGATGCAGGAAAAATGATGTGTAACAGCTGAACACCCACACCTTTCCACACGTTACTTATTTACAGCCATTAAAATTCGCATGCATCTTTGCAAATACTCCTTAAAATGTTGTCCCAGAATTGGTCAGTGCTAGCTGATTTTCATCCTAGATTCAGTAATTTAATGACACGTTGATCCAAGGACATCAAGTACATTCAGAACAGCACCAGCCCCTTTGCTGCATACGCTACCTGTATTTTTATGGCTTTCATATATGGGGCGATGACTTGTTAAGGATTCCTCTATACAATTTACTGCAGTGCTATTATCTGCTACTCCAAAGAGAGTCACTGACTGGAAGAAAGAACTGGTCTTACCACTGAAACACTTGGAGAACAAAGGGGAAAAATATAAGTAATACAAATGGATCCAACCTCAAGGGCACCCACAAACTGACCACCAGCATGTTTCCCTGGGTTGTATAATGAGAGAAAGCCACATTTAATTTCAAACGATTATGGAATAATTAAACACAATTAAAAAAAACATAGGCGATGTCATTATGGCAGCAGTGAGGCATCAGTTACGTTAGGACCAGATTGTTAAATTAACTTCCACATATTTGTTTGTGCCCAGGCTTTGTCCAGTTGAAGACACCATTTGGTAATTTCTCTGGAACCTGAGGCCACACATAATTTACACAAAGTGGAGCATGACTGCAGTTGCTTTCAGTTTTAACACAGATACAGACATATTCACAGAAAGACAACCCTGAGGATCTACCATTTTGAGCTGGTCTGAAGCAACATATGTCTAGGCCAGCTCCTGAGCTTCCATGGGCACCACAAGAAGGGGAAGACCTCGAAGACTGAATTCTGCCCAATCAACTTACTGTATTTGCTTTGCTATTCCCTCTGCTTCTACTAACCTGGCAGTGCAAATTTCTGGATTAGTTATTAGATGTTTTATTATAATATGCGGATGCTATTAAAACCCAAGTAGCTCAACAGAATGCGTAGTTCTAGGCATATAGCTTGGTCACACTTTGCTCAGCCCTTCGTTACCATGAGAGATTAGAGAACAGCCTCGCTCTTGCCCTCTTGTAACACTGAAATGGGTCTTGGTCATCCAGAGCTAGATGACTATCCATACAGAAAGCTGAGTCCAAAGACTCATCCCATGGCATTTTGATTTCAGCCATAAGGCTCTGTCTGGTTTCTGCTACTCCCATGCAAGGGACACAAAGGCCACCAAATACTTCCTCGCTACTCTCTCTGTGTTGCATCAACAAGCTGAAATGTGCTTACAGTAATCTCAAACCTATACTCACCTAGACAGTGTTTCATGAAAACAGTTTTGCTATATTTTTGATCTAATGAAGTTAAACTATCTGTAACTTTGGAATAAACCTAGGATATCTGATGCCTCAAAACAGGATATTACTATCACTGGGCTCACACCAAACAAGGCCTTTTAGAAAAACATGATCTTAAGTACCAAAAGCCGATAGGCATGTAGTCTGGGAGAATGATCAGGATCACTACACATTTTCTCATGCCTATTCTTCTACTGGCCAGAAACAGACTGACAGCCAACAGCACCAGACCAGCATTTAGCCTCACTGCTGCGTGAAATTGTTAGGTGCTGGAAAAGCAAAGCAGAATTAATTCCGTTCATAACTACCTTTGAGAAAAGTGACTGGAAAATGACCTTCCTTTCAGCCTCAGAACACTTTTAGAAAGAGGCAGATTTAAAAAAAAAAAAAAACACAACAAAAAAAGTGTTTTAAAAAAATTAAAGGTGATTACACAAGTAGGTTATAATAGAATATTAGGAAACGATGCTCATGAAACAGACTGCCTGAAAATAAGAGTGAAAATTCTTTTTTCAAGCCTTTTCTGTTAGCATTCAGGCTAAATATTTTACTGTTTCAACCTTCCCACCATCGTCTTTCATTCATAAACTTCTAACTAGCTGCAGGTTGATTAAAAAAAATTCCGCTGGTGTGTGACAAGTTGAAAGTAGTACAACACGAAGGTTAAAAATTCAATGATTTTAATACAACCCCTGATTGAGGTAATTTACCATTCATACTATTTTCATTCAATACGAGTTGTCATTTTACCAGCCCATTCTTACACAGTTCAATAATGATAAGGTTAGCTTTGAAGTGATTCTTTTATGTTAATGACATTCTCCACATGTTGGGTCATACTTCGGGTTAAAGAACTGAAAATGTAAATGAATCCCCATTAGGGTGGGTAATAGCTGATCATTAACTTTATATTTTATTAGATCTGCCAGCCTTACTCACTCTAATTAAAGGACAGTGATTTCTTTTTTTTCCCCCAGACACTACAAATGTGCTCTTTCAAAGTTAGATGCGTGTATTTTTGTAACATACATTCAGTGATACTTTGTCTCTCTGCAATTTTTTTTAATTTTACATTAGTAAGTTAATTAGCTGTCTTACAGAAAATTTTCATAGTCATTTCAATAAACATACTTCTGATAATCTTATTCCCTTATTTTAGAGAGGAAGGAAGCTGCAGTATTGCAATCTGTTAATGCATATGAAGGGAAAAAGCCTGAAACAAAGGATGAAGTTAGTTCTACTCTTTTAAAATCCTAAAATTATCTACTACTACTTGAATCACTTTGTAAAGGAATTAACCTATGTTGTTAGCATTCTTTATGTACAGCAATAGTTTACTCACATGTTTCCATGCCTTCATCATCATCATCTGCTACAGGTTTATCATATGATTTGTCTATGGCAGCTCTGAAGCTCTCATTGCAGCCTCGTCCTCGGATAATTCGCGGGCGTGGGCGGTGGAAGGGAATATCACCATTCAGAGTCACCTCAGCAACGGCTGTCTGCAGACTTTCTAATGAGCTGGACTTCTTCAGACCTAATGAAGGCCCCACATCTCTGGTTGGAGAACCTTAGTGATTTAGGGGGAGGAAAAAAAAGTAATTAGAGTTAGTATTGAGAACTGCATGCTTGATTATGCACATCCATCCTGAAAGTCTTTGGGGACACACTTAACATTATTCACATCATCTCTCAATAATCTGTAGGGAATTCTCCACAGATTTGCTGGTCTCAGAAGTGAACGAGCATGTCAAGTCATAGTCAACGAAACCGACAATGTTAGCAATGTCTGGCTTGTCAAATCAGTCAAGGGAGACCAACATCCATTACTATTATTCTAACAATTTGAATGATAAAGTAATCATGGGGCTTTAAAAACATAGCTCATAAAAAAATTTAAAAAACCCAGTGGTACCTATCTAATGGCATCAAACAAAACAATTATTTTTGTTTTGAGCAGAATATTTCATATATACTAGCAACCGACGAACAGAAAGTGGATTATAGGCATGAATCCTATTGTGTTTAGAGTTACAGTCTTGCAACATAGCCTGACTTCTGGCTTCAAGGAACATGCTGTTTGCTTTTAATTGAGTTTTAAAGACTTGCATCAAATTGCTAACAATTTCATAATGAAATGGTTCTGAGAAGTATCAGTTGACTTGCTGGGATTTTGTGAAGTTGTTTAAAAATAATCTGTGGAAAGGACCCAATTAGTCAGCCAATACAAGTTATCCAGCTGGAAAAGAAACGCATTCCTGGCAGTCACCAGGCTGATGTTTGGGCAGCACTACAGCTGGGGCTAAGGACAGCTCTTAACGTTGCAGCACCTCCGGAGGCGTGCCAAGAAAGCCCCGGACATATTCTGCGAAAGCCTTTCCCCACCCAGACTTTTCTGCTCAGGTTTCTGGACTAAATGTCTAGACTCTGGTTTCAGATACACACATTCACAGTGCAAATCAGCTGACGACTGCACAGTTAGATCTCATATTATGGTTAAAACTGGGAGAGATCTTTCAGGGGAGAAAATATCAGTGCATTTAGTTGAAGTTATTTCAAGTCAATCAAAGGTACAGTATAGCCTTGGCTAGTTTTTCCATAGGATTTGCAGCTGGAGAGATAAGTTGAGGTGGGACATCATCATCAGAGCTACATTTCCTGAAGCTTCAAAACGATATCCCTTGCCTATAATGTAAAAGCCCACTTTTTCTCTACCCAAAGGGAGCAGAACAGAGGTGGGTGTTGTGGCCCTGCAGCAGTCCAAGGTGGTGGGTTGTTGCTCCGATGATATCCCTATCCTCATCTGACAGAGGCAGAGAAAGACAAATTTCAAAGGCGGCAAGCACTGAGCAACAGAGCCAAGTGCTGAACCCTCAGGAATACCCACCCAACCAATGAACAATACATTTTAAGCAAGGTCCAGTGTAAATAATATGATAAAGGAAAATTATCTATTTAAAGTATTTATCTCAGAAGCATACAAAGCTCTGGAGTTGAACCCTATTCCAGCAGATAAGAGGGGGGAGAAGCGAGAGTATCTGTCACTGTTCTTTAACAAAGGTATGTGAAGTTACCTTACACTGGGGAAAACTGCTACTGCACTACTGAAAACTGCTTCTTTCACTTTCCGTACTGGGGGGAGGAAGGGAGTGGCTGGATCTAGAGAAGGGATGCAGAATACCAGCATGGCAAATCTTCTCTACGTTTTTTGCTAACTTGGTATGAGATGGAGCAATGCAGCAAACACTTTCATTTTCTACTCAGGTATTAAATGTCTGAGCAATTAAGTTAAACTAAAATCCCCCAGATCAAATAGATTCAAACAGCAGCTGTCAAACTGGCCCCCTTCAGCTCCCCTACTGATAAGATGAACTCGTACATGGAAACAAAACAAAAATCCTCTTTCACAGCTCAACACAGCTCCTGCACTTTGGTTCCTGCCGCGGTCCAGAGTCCTGCTGATTGGACCCTTGGCCAGAAATAAACACACTCACAGCAAATGAGAAATTTCATCTTGGTGAATTCGCATCTCCTAGAAGAAGCCGATCTCACTCCGAGCCCGTACTTGCTGGAGGGCAGAGGGTCAGGAGGATGGCTGGGGGCAGAGCGCAGCTGCTGGGGCCAACAAAAGCAGCAGCTGGGACAAGGGGAGTTTGATGGCTCCCCAGCTGCACCAACAACGGCACTCCAGGTCCATCGAACTTCTGAACATGGGCTGAAGTCTAAGGTAAGTATTTTTACATAACACTCTCTTTACCGAGTTAGAGGACTCCAGCTGACAACAGTACTCCATAAAACTATCCACTCAGCAGCAGATGCCAAAATCTGCTATTCCTCTCCTCATGCCTGCAGTGCACAAGAAATGAGGTTTTGTGTTTTATTTTTTGACACTGTATTTTGTTAAACACAATCCATGAGACAGGAAAAAATCAATGCAACATTTTGAAGGAAAAAAAGAGGAAACAGGACTACCCTATATAAACCAGCTGTTTGACAGATTCAATTTCATATACAAAACGAAAGGGTATCCTCTTACACGGCAACTTACTGTAAACTTCCTTATTCCAGATTCTGCCTTGCAACCTGGAAATAAAATGCTCATATATCTTTTCCTAATTACTGAGTGGCTCTTTCTGTAAACAGTAATTATAAAGAAGGCATTTACGTGCCCATTTATGTTCATAAAGGACATGTAAAAAAATCCATTTCCTGTCACCCAATACAGATCTTTGTGAGAACTGTATTTATGTAAGTTGTGCTTTCCCAAAGGAAAAGCTAGATGGGATATGACCTAATGTTCCCTGAGTACTGTAAAACTAATAACGGATTACAGATACGATAGGAATATTTATTAAACCTGGGTGGCCATGAACACAAATGAGGACAAGTCACAGAATTTGCAAGGGGAAGGCATCCTTTCGCAAGCAATTTAAGCACTGTGAGCATAAAGCTATGAGTATCTTAATACCTTCACTATCTTCTATGGTCACTTCATAGCAAGTCTACTACTTTCAAAATATAGAGTTAAGCCACTCTCTACATGGAGGGAGTTCAGAATTTATTACTAGAATTCACCAGCCAGAAAGCGAGTTGTTTACCCATAATCTGGTGAGATACAGCAAACTTCCTTTAAAATTGATTCTGTTTAAAATTTATGAGTCACATCAAAACCTTGTTTTCTAAATACAAAAATGTCAGCACTTTCTCCTAGGCCTTACAGCGCTGGTGGTAATCATCAGAAATGTTATCAGCTCAGAATGAGTTCTACTTCTATTGTGACATCAGAATTTGAAGTAGAAAAAAGGAAGAGAAAAAGACACATCTACCTAAAGCATCTTTATATGACTGAGGGATAAAAGGGATTCTTTTATCATTTTTAAAATTTGAATTTTATCTAAATTTTCCTTTCTGACAATTTTATTAACCAATATCCTTTGAGGCAGAGTCATCCCTCTGTTCCTCAGCAGTCCTCCTGCTGTGCCTGCCACCGTGTGCGCAGCCTCCCCACACGTTCCGCTTACACGCTCGCCCGTCCGGCTCTACTCTACATGCCACACACCCCTGTCCGCCCCACAAGGGCTTCTAATGTGCTCGCACCACCCCGCCGAGCACCGCCCCGGCCCACCACACACGTATCACCACTCCCTGTGTCCCCAGCGGGCCAACCCTCGGGACCACAGCCAAGCCTTGCTCTCCAGGCCACGCACCACCCTCTGCTCATGCATCGCGGCTGGCCGGGCGACGGCACAGGCAGCCCCCACCACATCACATACGGACCCAAGGAGACAGTGAGTACACATACATCACACAAAGCCCACGTGCTGCTCCAAGCCCTCTGTTTTTCCCTTGTGCTGATGCTGTCGAACAACTCATTGTGCTTCCACTTCTCCCACCTCATGTGAAGCATTTACACAGTGCCACAAATCCACTTGGGCGATTTGCAAAGGCAAAAAGCACGGTGTCAAAAGATACATGATGTTTGCTTCACTGTTTCCTTCAGTGACAAATTTTAAAGGCTTTTAAATTTTAAAGCACTTTTCAATGATTTAAAATTACAAGCTGTTTTCTCTTTGAAACATTTTTACTAACTCTCAGGTTAAATTCTATCAGCAACTAATGCCAAAATCTTCACTTGATTTGATTAAACCAGTTTTGCAAAGGCACAAAGTTTACTTTCAAACACTTTCTTAAAGGACATTAGCAGTGAGCCCATTGATGTACTAACATCTGCTCCATTTGATCTAATAAATTCTTCTATTTCTAGTTCAATTCATACACTAGAAGAGTAACATTTCAGCTGGAGAGACCAGAGGAGGAATAGAGCAAGCAACTGCATCATAAATAGTTTAGCTTTGATTCCATTTCATAATACAATTTTAAAAGCAATGTATAAAAATAAATAAACAATTTAAATAAACATTCTTTGATTTTTTTCCTTTCTTTTTCATTTTCACAATGTGTACATGGAAAAATAACTACCTAGAACTGCAGCATGCCTGAGTCTCAATAAATGAACCACGCTCAATTGCTACTGAATATACTTCTAACCTCTAGGTTGAACTGTAAACACTGCCAGGATTAGGCACTTCAAGTGAGCTATAGAAAGGAAAATAATTAAAAATCTATTAAAGTAACTAGGACTGGTGAGTTCTACACTCTCCTTTTTAGCCAATACTATTAGGTCCAACTCTGACTGTAACAGAGTTTGTTTTTATTTTTTTCTAAAGTAAATATATGCTGAAGTCTTCTGGCTTCTAGAGTTCATTAAAACACAGTTCACCACACATTTGAAGCATTTTTTTTGTCTTGGAACCAGATAATTTTTAAGCCAAATTATGATAAGTGGTTTGTTTAACAACCACATCCATCTTCAGTAATGGGAGAAATAGAGTGTTTATATACAAAACCTGGTTAAAAGCATGCAAGATAAATAAAATGAAAGTACAATAAAAGGTGTTTTACTCTTTTTCCAGCCACTGAGCTTGCTGCACACAAAACATGTAACTGCTTAGTCCAGACGGTTACAGTCATGCTCTTGCACCCAAGTTGTCTGACTTGTCTCTCTTTTTGGAATTTAATCCAGGTGTTACACATGGAGAAAAACTACACTCAATTAATACCACCCTCTATTGATACCACCAAAAACACAAGGCACTTTTAAAAACTAAGCATCATGTTTTACTAAAACACCCATGTTTAACACCATTCTAATCACATCCCGTTCAAACAGGCAGACTAATAAGAAAATGAAAAATACTTTACAGTAATTCTGAGTTTGATCTGTAACTCTTTTTAATTGAACAATGCTTAGGGGTGAAGGCAGTTCTTAAGCATTGATTCTTAAGCCCACACCCATTAACACAATTCATACACTCACACACTGATGGCTTTAATCCTTTAAAACATTCATACATTTTAATTTTGTGTACTCATTCTCAATTTGTAAAGCTGCAAGTCTGTGGCCATATTCTGCCATATTTTAAGAGCTAGAAGTTTTAGCTGTTTAAATAAAAATTGTAATTTTATCACTTGATTAGTTTCAGCTTTTCAGTATTCCTACTCATGTTATAAAGTGTGGTTAAACAGAGATGCAGTTGTGAATTATTAGTTGTAAATTCTGCAGAGAATGCCCTATTCCCCAAATCATGTTAAAATAAATAATATTTTCGGGTTAAAAAGGTGAATTGTTCCTAATTAGAGCTAAGTAACATTATGGTGTCCTCTGGATCTAGCCTAATTAAAATAGCATTCCAAAAGTCAAAAGCTAACTTATATTAATAAATCATAAAGGTTCCTAATTGCAGCTGGTGCATTATTTTAATTACTAATAAAAAAAAAGCTTTGAAAGCTATTTCTCATTATCATTGTGTGAAATGTTGCGATTGATGGTATGTGGAAAGGATTCTATTTACATATTCTTTTGTTCTGTTAGGACGCTCGGGTTTCAGCTCCAAAGGCAAATCAACTTGCACTGAGAATCTTCAGCGCAACTCACAACGTGCATCTGATGACCACTTAAGGCAAAGGTAGCAGCTTCCTAATTAAAATAACTATTTCCAAGCACTGTAATAGCCAACCATTCGGCTCGGCTACATCATCTCTCTGCACATTAGAGTCTGAAGCTAGATTTTCCAAAATTTTTTTGAAAGGACAAAACAATCCAAACAACTGTGTAGAAACAGGTGTCTACCTACAGTCCCATGTACAACCTGCTTGAATACAGATACTAGATACTTATCTCCACAAAGAATTTTCTTTTTCTGTACGACTTGATTATTCACAACAAGAGAAAGCAGCCATGCAAGTACTGGAATATTCATGTTTTCATGCAATTTGACTGGCAGTTTTGTAATTGTGGTAAGCTGCTTTGACCACGGTTTCTATAGCAACAGCCTTGCTGTCAATTCTTACCTGTTTTCTGGTCATCCATTGTACTGAGCTTAGTCTCGTCAGCTACTGTTAAAAGGTAAATGTATAATGGTTAGCCCAGTTAGTGCCCATGCCCCACATGCATCCAACATTCCTTCTGTTTTGCATATTGTTTTTTCAAGTTAGGGGACCTCAGCAATGTCATACTTCATGCAAATAAACTGCAACAGTAAGCAAACATTCTGGGTAGAAGTGGCAGCAAACTCGTAACCTTCATGCAATGTCAGTCATGTTCACATCACAGGCAGGTACAATATGTTATTGACACGTTAGCACATCACAGCTAGTCAAGACAAGTCAACAGCGCCAACCTTACTGTCTCCTGAGGAATTTGGTGAATTAGGGACTGCAGTTAAGATAGTCACAATTATTGGAAAGGAGCGAATCGTATTATATTCTATTATTCTGAGTGGGGAATTTTGTGTGTTTAAAACATCCAAAACTCACTGTTTAAGGTTACTAGATTCTGCACTTCAGAATCTAAATTCAGTGGCAAAAAAAAGAATAGATGGGTTTGTTAGCAATTACTTATTCTCAATTGTTTTACCAGTTACAGTGATTATAGTAGGTTGCCTGTCTTAGCTGCTGCTACTTGATAGGGCTTCTGATATAAATATTAAAGATTGGGTCTCAACCAGATGTCATACTAGCCCCATTTTCTAATTCTGAATGAACTCTTCAAGAAAATACTTGCATCTTTAATATCTTAATCAAAATCCATCTATAAAACAAGAGACTATGAAGGATCTTTAAGGCTAATTGCATTATAATCACAAACTGAGAATACTCCTGTCTCTGCAGAACCACAGCATGGTACAGTTTTACGCTGTTATTGTATGTGGATTGGTAAATGCACTTTTCACCTCCATTTTAATAAATAACTTTTATGTTTATGTATAACCATATATCCAGAGGGCTATGCCATTAAAATGTATGGACACTTACAAGTGGTACAAACAATACGCAGGCCACTTGGCCATTCACATTAAGCATACTTTACTTTCCACCAGTAAAAATTACCATTACGTGCAATAGTACTGGGCATAAACAATGTATTTGGAATTACAAAATCTATATACTTACAACATGAAAATCAGGTTCAAATAAAATAATTGAAAAAAATATCACTCACTACCTAGATCCATGCTTTTGGATTTTCGTGTTTTAACAAACTCCAACTGACTGGCATCTGAAAATTGCTTTGTACGCTTTTCTGACATGCTCTGGCGTCCAAAACCCTCTCGCTGGAAGGCAAGCACTGGATCAACATCTGGACTAAGAGTGCTGTAAGAAGGGAAAAAAAACCATGCGAACATTTATCAAGATCACGCAACCTTTCACTCCGCAGAGAAAAGCATTTATTTAGCACGTGACTTCTACCAGCAATGAAGTACACATTTTTAAACGATCCATTGCAAGTAGTCGGTTACACACATGACGCGTTTGTTGTACTGCATCAAGCAATTCCAGTTAAAAAGTATCAAGAATTTCACTCTGAGTTTTAATTAAAGTAGTACATATCAGTGTACTATACACATACAATCAGTATCCACAGCCCCGATAGAGGAATAATTTGAGGGAGAAGAAACCAGTTCCGTTCTCTTCATGAGAAAGAAATATATTCTGCTAACAGCACATTATCAGATTTTTCTTCATCACAAATTTTTTTCAGTAAAGCATAAATAGAATCTGTCCTGTCTGAAGCCCACAGACCTTTAATAAACTTATTCAATTAAAGACTTTGCATTAAAATTTATCTCCATGCGTGAAATCATTTGCAAATTTTTCACAGCATCTCCTGGTTTCAACCTGGCCATGACATACATATTTTTACTCATTACTTCACTACAGAGCAAGTATTTGTCACAATGCTTCTACCACTACATGATAATCAGGGCTAACTGAACTCAGTTTCAGTCTCTTCTGTAGGTTTGTCACACGCCTTCGGCTGAGAGTCACGTCTTCAGCGAGCAGCAATCTGCGTTTCACCGTGCTTCATCAGAAGCATGTTGAAGACAGATGTATTCATATTGGTCAAAAGTTGCCAGAAGCATGACTGGAAGAATGCAGACAAAATTTGGCGCTCAAGCTAAACCCTAGGCTTGCAGTGTGTCACAATGCATGTTAAAAACAATAAAAGACAACAAAAAAAAAAAAGCAAGGTCATAGCATCATTTAGGTGGGAAAGGAACTCTGGGATCATCGAGTCCAACCAATCACTTACTGCTAATAAACAATATGAAAGGAAATTCACACAAAGGTCTTCCTACTTCTGAAAAAGGGGAGAGTATTAAAAATAGCACAAAGTATTGAGATTTCTACTTCAGCTGGCATAAAAAGAAGTCAACATGCATAAAATACTGAAAAAAATGAGTATTTTTCACGATTTCTCCAATATGAAAAAGGTCCCTCAAAATCCCCAGATATTGCTTTTGTACTTCCAAGACAAAAAAGCTAAATATTTTGTCACTGAGATCTCCCAAGAGACTAAATGCCATTCAAAATATTCTATACGTACATGCTCATACGTGTTCAGTAGCATGTTTCAAAAGAATTATTTTCTATTTTAAGGGGTAGGCATCATACACATCTCATACCTAGCCAGAAACAGGCAAATAGCAAATTCCTGCAGAAATCGACTTACACTTTTAAATTACGTAACGTGAACATGCTTATGTATGCCAGGTACTGTAATTTATAGAAGCATCTTTGATCAAGAAAAACCTGGGTATTAGCCACAACAGTGAAAAGAAGTAAGGAAAAGTGTCCAATGGCATCAAGTGCTCTAAAGGATGAAAATCGTTGTCCGCGTTACCAGGCAGCCTAGAAGAAATTCAGTCTAGTAGTGGCACATTTACAAATAATAAGGTATGTGCATGTGACAAGCATATAATACTTAAGCGAGAGCAGGATCAGAGCTTATACGAATAAAGTCAATGTCAAGTGCCTTTTGACTTTAACGTTTCTGGCTCAGACTCATAATGTTTTACATTTAATTACTGCAACTATTTCAGAGATGTCTGCACGATTTAGCAACGTTTTGAAGCATATGCTTAAAAGCTCTGATGAATCAGAGCCTCAACTCAAAAATAACTATTTAGTCCTCATATTCACTCCTACAAAACGGGGGAAAAAATTATCTCCACATGATAGAAAGATAAACCCGACAAGGCCAATAGACACTTCTGGCATTTACAGCAGCCCAACACGTAGCTGTGTAAGAACCACCTAAGCCTGAAAACATGCTCCGAGTGACTCAGCTGAACTTACAGGGTTTCAACACCTTTCATAATCAGATCATAAATGACTTTCCCAAGGCCACACAAGAGTTTCTGGCTCAGTTAGTCAGCCCTGCCTCTGAAGGCCAGAAAAATGTGGGTTTACTAAGTGAGAATTTTCTCCAGCAACATCTGTTAACATAGCTCACGTTAGTTAAAGATGACCGGCTTCATCTCGCCGAGCAAAATGTATCCGGTGACGCTTTCTTCAAAAAGGGTGAATTTCTAAAATTATTTCTTTTGGCTGGATGCTCCTTTTTTCATCTGAGCTTGCTTTGATCTGCATATATAAAGCTTCTAATAAAGCTGAATATCATTTTCATGTAAATACAGCGTGCACATATATATTCAACTTGAAGTCCCAGGAACAGACTAAAACTCCGAAGTTAAAGCATGAAAAGGGCACCACATGTCCCAGAGAGAGCAGTGGGGTCTGGGCACAGCATCGGAAACTGGGAATTCTGGAGATCAGATGCCAGTGTTTCCACTGATCCCACCTTTAGTGGGTTTCTCTCTGATTCCCTTACACACCTACCTTCCACACACACTTAGCAGGGAGTTACTGCTTCATGTTTGCATAGCATCCTGCATACTAAAGGCACTAGTGAGCACCAAAAAACTACTTTCTCTCTGACATAATGACATCTCATACTTTTTTACAGTACAAATATCTGAGCCCTGTGTAGAGTCATCAAGTTTTCATGTATTGGTTTATTTCTATTACTGATGTCACACGAGCATGTTTTTGTAATTAAGGAAGGCGCGGACCACAGGAGATTGAATACATGTACATTGCCTGAAAGTATTCAAAAACCCTGTGAAGATCCGTAACTGGAAAAGCCAGTGAGCACAGATGACAAACCAATGCCCCTAAAAATGCCTCATTTTAATATTTTTCAACTACATTAATAAGAGACAGAAGGTGAATTTGGTGCAAGTCATTAAGCAATGCCAAATGCAATTTACTATATTCTAGCATACTTAACAAATAAGGTTTCTGGAATGACAGCTGATCCTTCAAAGAATGTAACCGTCTTCTGACCCTCGATGTTATTAAAATTCCACTTATTAATCCTGTCTTATTGCCCCTTTGTTTTCATAACATTTTCATCAAGGATTAGGGAGATATTGTGAGGCTGGAAAAGCTTACATTTTCTTCTGTGATTCAGAACAGCTGCCATTCTTGTTTGGATAACCCTTCATCCATGTTCTTAGTTTTACCCTTTGTGCCTCCCAGCCAAATCATACAATGCACCTTCGTTTTACAAGTCTTCCTTCATCCATTAGCAGCAGGAAATTAATGCAACAATCCAATTCTACTGCTATTTACTTTTTTACAAATAGAATACATTATGTAAGAAGGCGCTGAACTGATCTACTCTTTTAAGTGCAATTTTATCTGAAGACCTTTACAATTCCTCATAAAGACACACGTTTAAAGGTTTTGAGGGTGATCAATTCCACAATATCTAATCCCTATTTTCTTTACTGTTACATTCATTTTCAAAGAAGTATATGAATAGCAAGATAAGCTGCAGAAGTAAATGTAAAAGCATCTGCAGGTTTCAAATGGGCTTTTATTTTATGCTGCAGGTTTTTGCTCATATTCGGCTAAAAAAATTCCCTCAGCAATAAGCTATTATGTGCAGCCTTGAGTACTATTCTATTTAAATGTCTCAGATTCTCGGCTCTAAAAGCTTTTACAAAAGATGGATGGACTTTTCAAGGCCCCAAATTACAGGTATGACTTGTCCAAAGGCAGAGCTGCAACATTAAAAAAAAAAATTGCAAATGAAGATGAAAAAAATGTACCATTTTATGCAATCATTAAAACAGTGCTTAAAATAGAGAACTCAGTTTCTGGACACAAGATGAAATAAACTAATATAAAGCAAAGAAGAAGCTGACAGGTGCATATCAGCTGGCAGGTGCTACTGCTGTTTTATTAAGATATTGCTGACACATTCATAACAGGCTCAAGAGGCAAGAAAAATAAGAAAATTCATATACTTCACACCATTTGTGGTAATTATCTATCTTCAAGAAGTGGCAGTGTACAGGGGTGGGCTTTTATTTTGGTATTACTATAGATAATTACAGGACTTGCAAATTAAATCTTAGATCTGTATTAACTGTACTACCTAAGCAATAAACAGTATTTCTTTGCTAGGACCCTAAGCAAGTCAATAATGGAGCTCAATGTGTTTCTCTTTAGGACTCCTATAATGTATAAAAGTAACTTGAGTCAACCTAACATTCACAGAAATTATTTTTACTACATATCTAACATATAGAGTAAAATTACTTTCCATAGTTTTAAATGTGGGACTACCATGCTACACTGCCTTTGCATGACAGCTACAAATCATCATATGATGTTATGGAAGTTATTTCTTCATGCATAATAAGGAAATCTTAACTCATTCTTGTTGCACAAGCATTAACATTAGGGCAAAGCAAACAGCTGCCTTCATCTCCAAGCAGATTTTAAAACTATTGTACATTATTAGGAAATTCAAGAAAGTATAAAGAACTACTGAAAGGCTCCTATATATATACTGGAATATAAAAATAAATGTTTGTTTGACTTAAAAATGTTAATTTATAAACCTCACTGTAAGTATTTCTAATTGGAATTATTCTTTCATCTTTCATAAACTCGTGTTTAAATTTTGCAAATTTTTTTTACCAAAGCCAGCTCAGTGGGCAACTAAATTAATAACAAATCATCAAATTAACACAGCTATATGCTGATTTGGTCTTAATAATAATTAATAATATTTCCACAAATGTGCTTTGACAGAGCTCAGAAATAGAAAGTCTAATAGATTTCTGCAACCAGAAATAGAAAGTCTAAAAGATTTTCTGTACAGGCGTCTTTCCTGAAACAGCGACAATTACCAGTTTGAAAAGAGTGAGATTAAAAAAAAATTAGTATTAGCAGTAGCCAAAAATTAAACTAAAGAAAAAGACATAACTGCAGTCATTTTTTTTTTCCTTCCAGTAAGCCATGCTCTTACCAGTCTGTTGATTCATTAATTGAAGCTTTAGCCCATCCACCAGCATCAACAGTGCCAAACCCAACATCATCGTGGGAACTGGATGACGACTGGTCAGAGAGATGAGGAGGGAGTACGGACAGTCTGTCATCTTCAATAATGACAGTGTCATCCTGGGGCATGTTCACCGTTGGAGACAGCTGATATTTACCTGAACAATAAAAGGGAGAAAAAACCCCAAAAATAAATAATGGCAGAGTGTGCCTTGAATAATACATAATCACAGCTGATAAAATGTCATGTCAAACTGCAAGGCTCCTGATAAGAGTGACACAACACAGATAATAAAATTAACTGTGTCTCACTTATACACATTTTCCTATGCAGAGGTCTGAAAAGCAATATACAACAGTTGTATCTGCAGCCTACTACAAGATCATCACAGAATCACAGAAGGGTTGAGGTTGGAAGGACCTCTCATCTGGTCCAACCCCATCCCCCCACTCAAGCAGGGACACCTACAGCCAGTTGCCCTGGACCCTGACCAAATTACTTTAGACTACTTCTACTCTACCAGATCCCCGAGCAACCTGTGCCAGTGCTCCGTCACCCTCACAGTGAAAAAGTGAGTGTTTCCTGGTGTGCAGAGGGAGCCTCCTGCGTTTCTGTCTGTGCCCACTGCTCCTGGTCCTGTCACTGAGCACCACTGGAAAGCACCTATCCCAGAAGACAGTACCTCCTCTTGCATGAAATCGTTTGGTAGAAACGAAGAATGAGGTCAGTGAGAACTAACAGAGCTTATCGCTTCTTCTGATCAACCTTGCCCTCATGAAACGTGAAACTTGTTTCATTGCTATTGGGAACTTGGAAATCTTTAATAATGCCTCCACAAGAGTAAGAATTGTGAACAGGGATGAGAACTCAGAGCTAAAGCCAAATGATTCCAAATTTTCATTCTTTCCTTTAAAAAATAATCTGGAGGCACACATGCAAAATCTGGGGAAAAAAATTGCCCAATTCTATTACCACCACATTCAAATGTTTTAACACTGTTGTTAATATGCTTAAATTAGAGTCATCACAGACACAAAAGACATAATAGACTCAAAATTATTCTTTGTTCAGTAGCAGACTTCATTGGGTTAATTTGTCAGAGTAGCAGCTAAAGATGATACTTAGAGGATTCTGACAAACTAGAACACTGTTTCCAAGAAAAATCAGTTTTTAATGTGCCTGTAAATATTGGCACTGCTGCTTTTATAGTGATAAATATATATACATAATTATATTTTCCAGTAATCATTTCAATGCATAAGATTGTATAACAATTTTTAAACTGCTGTATAAAAAGCAGAAGCAACTCTTGAACTTCTAGAAAACTTTATGCAACCAAAACAGACTAAAAAACTATAAAGGATATCAGAAGGGATTATTTTCATTGCAATGCTTTGTAACATAACTACAGCTTAAACTGAATAAATCTTTTTTTCAGGACAAATGCATGAGTTGGGAGGATGTGGGTTATATAATATTATTTCGACAATGATAAAAATACAGAATTATCACCACTTAAAATTTTAACTTGGAATAAACAGAACTTATTTTAGTATCTAGAAACACTAAGCTAAAACTTGCTCTAAGGAAGACAAAGCAAATCTGGATGAAAATTATCTAGTTATTTGAGGTAATGGCTAATTATTAGCTGTGATTTTTTCATATTAGCTGCACATAATTTTTCATGTGATAGAATCTTTTTAAAAACTTTTCCCCCCCTGGATATTGAAGCTCAACTTAAAAAGATCTGTCATTTAAAATGATTGGTCCTAACTTTCACTACACAAAACATGATTTCTAATGAATGATCATGACATTACATGAATTTTATTCCTGGAAATGTATTATCTTACTAAAACAATTAGTACAATTGTCACATCTCATGACAAGAAAAGCACTAGCTTAATCAACCATTAATCTGACAACAAGGTAAATTATTCTAAAGCTATGATGCACTGCAGTAATAATATACAGAAAAAGTTATATTTCCCAAATACAAATTGCTTATATGGACACATCAAATATTTTCACACTTTGTTTTTACTACAGTAAATATGGAAAAATTATGTAGAACTAGGGGAAAATAATTTTTCTCTCTTTTCTGGAAAGGTTTCAGCAACCATCACTACCTTTGCATGCAATTATTGGAAAACAAATAAATAAATAAGACCCCAGGTGCAAAGAGCCACCTAATATCATCGCTGCGCTAGACAATAAATGTTGTACAGCTCTCCAAAGGGGGGGAAACTGGCTTCAAAAGTGATCACTGAAGAAGTGGCTGGAAGAAAAAGGTCCTGCATGGTGAACATCTCATCACTGTCAAACTGAAATGAATCTCTTCAGTTTGCATAACAGTTGATGCTTTGCCCAGCAAAAGCCTCTTTGATGGACAGGTTAATGTTTAGCCTAGTAATGTACTTCTTTCCAAACATAATGCCTACAAGACTGTTAACTCTGTAGCTAATAACACCTCCAAAGAATTGATTGAGAAAAGGTATAACCTTATGGCATTCAGCAGATTGAACTTCCCATTTGAGAGGCTACAGTAATTGAGTAACATTTTTAACTTTTCACTACCCTTCTTTATATCTGACAAGGGTGAAGACTGACATTTTAATAGTTGCTTTGGAATTTAGGAGAAAACCCATCTGACATGCCTAAGCTTTTCACTGCTGATGAAGCTAAAAACAGGTGAAAGGCTTCACCTCCAGCAGATGGTCAGACAGACCTCAGCAATGGACTCAATACGTCCTTTGTAGAGAGCTCAGCCAAAGCGGACAGAAAATACCCTTGGAGAAAGCAACTCTAAGTGTTGTGAGAAACATTACATGGAAACATCAAAGAAACTTCAAACCTAGTAATCATCTGTATATTTGACTGATCTACAAATCTAAAACGTTGCTTGAGCTGTCTACAAACCTCTGCAAGACAACAATTTTCCCTCAGGCTAGAAAAGCACTATAAAATTTAGACTCTGAATACACTTCAAGTCCAGTTTTGCATATATTAATTCAACTTCAGTGAGGTAATCTGTAACAATATAAAGTAATAAGGAAGGGAAAACATTCTCCCTTTCAAGTGTGTCTCATCTCAGGACAATGAAGCTCAAACTTCTTGAACAAGTTACCACTGTAAACAAGCATAGCCTGAGGTGTACTATGGGGTAAGAAGGTTTCCCATCTGTCTGCGCAGAAAAAGAAGTCTCAGAGCTCCAGTGCCAAACGGCTGATCTCCACATCTATGAGGACTTGCAGCTTAGAAGGGAAAATATGCCAAACAGCAATACTTCAAACCCATAACAGGACTTATATACGTATATTAATAGACTTATGTTAGACCAGAAAACAGTATGGACCTGAATTAAACCAACAACATAAAGTGCTCCAAGAAAACCTTGAGCATGCACAATACATAAAATGAACAACAGGTTTACTCATGAAGAACCCAGCTACTCCAGGTCCTTTTAGACCTTGAAAATCCCTGAAGCTTGGTTAATCTGTTTGCTGCGAAGGCTTGGCTCCCACTGCATTGTCATGGTATTGTATCTGACTTGGTTCTTGTGATTTTGCACAATTTCTTTCTCTTTAAAGAAGGTCCAAGAAATCTGTTGAACACCCTTACGATACATTTAAAGCGCAGTATTAACTTTATGAGTGACACCCATGAGCATTTTGGTATCATGAGATTCAGACCAATGGTACACTTCAAGCCTCTTCCACTAGCAGAGGGCATTTCTGGCTCTGACATGGCAAGTGATTCCCAGCCTGCCTGACCAAAACATCAGCAGCAGATACTCTGTGACAAAGAACAAAGTATTAACCTAAATAATAACTAGAGTAACAAATCCAGAAATAGCAATAAAAGAAAACAGCGATAAAGATGATGATGAAGATAGTAGTGATGAGACTTCCTACAGAAGGAATACAGAGATCTGTACAATGAGAAATCAGAACTTCTCCAGATCTTCATTTTTAAATTCTTCAGTAACAGCGTATTTGTCCACAGAAATATTTTGAGTTTTGGCAGAATTTCCCATAGATACTCTATCATCTTATTTTCCACGCTAAATAGAGGTGGAATTTGGAATACATCTCTGGAGAACATCTACAGACAAAAATGTCTCTGCTATAATCAGACTTTGGATTTCGAGAGAGAATTCAGACCTATGAAGACTATTCACAGAATCACTAAGGTTGTGAAAGACCTATCAGATCATCCAGTCCAACCATCAACCCAACACTACCATACCCACTAGACCATGTCCTCAAGTGCCACGTCTACGCGTTCCTTGAACACCTCCAGGGATCGTGACCCCACCACTTCCCTGGGCAGCCTGTTCCAATGCCTGACCACTCTATTGTAGCAGACTGTGACAATCTGATGAGACTCCTGGACGGCAAACTCCATTCTGCTTGTAAAGGGTTATTTTCATTTCACTGATACACACTTCACATCTCTAGCTGAATTTTTTCAGTGGTGCTTCCACCTGATTCTATCCTTAAGATAGCAATTATGTATGTAGGTAACAGAGTACTTCCTGTTGTGTAGGAACTACCAAATTTTATAAAGTTCTGGGGGATCCTTAAGGATGAAAAGCAGATTCAGTGCAAGCTATTGTTACTCTATGAACACCTTGATAAAGAACTTCTGTTCAGTCACTGTTAGCAACAAAACCCACCGTGTTCATTAAAAAAATATCAGCAACTGGAAGAAAGAGATGAAAGAGGACTTTGTACTAAGCTGTTTGTTGAATAAGAATAATTTATATAGACAGGAGCTATGTATTTGCGTATTGCAAAACTCAGGAGCATAATGGATGACATACAAGAACGGTGTATCGGAAGAAGAGACTTGAATTTTTAATCAGAGGCAAGCAAACCAGCATAGCACAGTTGTTATTTTGACTGTACTAACAACATGCAACTTGAAAATATTAAAAATAAATAAACATACATAAGAGTTTATTATAGCCATCTCATTCTTAGAAAACTCAATTTGTATGAACAAAAAACTGCTTCATCAAAAGCAAAATATCATTCCCTGAATACAGAAAGCAGTATCTCCTCTCCATCAGAAATTTTCAGTGAAATATTATCAAGTGAAAAAGCATGTAAGAAAACCTGTAATAGCAATAACCATCTAGAAAAGTAGATCAACATAAGAATCATCAGAAACATTACAAGATTCATCTAGCCTTTTTGTAGTAAGACGACATTATCTCATATAATTTAAATCACATTCTAAAATTGGTATTTTTTTGCCACTCTCACAACAAGGTTCTGACAACCAGTTCTTGCTGTCAGTTATGGACTGAAAGAGTAAGGAAATTGTCTTAATTCCCCTTCCTGAAAATTACATTAGATGTATTTAAAAGAAATGAAACTCTTAAAACTTTTGTTCCAGCTTTAAGCAATGACTGAAAAGAGAAGATGTTTTCAGACCTTGAGATCACCACTTTCGAATCCTTTAACTTAGGAAGGAAGAAAACTCAAAATCCATCAAATTTATCCAATAGTAAAAGAAGCAGAAAGACCTATTCCTTCACGCATGAAATCAAACTGTGACCTCCTCACCACGAGGTACCAAGGGTACTGAAATTTTACACAGTCAAATCCAATTAAGAGTAAATAAAGAGACATCAGGTGGTTCAGAGAGCCCATAAGTCAGGGCTCCTTGATATGGGGGGAGCACTCAAGGGAATCAGCACCACAAAAAGTACTTCTTTTGGCTTGTTTTCATCACCAGGACCAGTATGGGAAGGTACAGACACCCAGTCTTCCTCAGCCAGATTGTTCTTAGGACTAATCCTCTCTCTCAGTCCAATTTTCAGGACAGGAAGAAAACTCCCAGAGTCATGAAACACCACATTTACGTTCTCAAGAAAATTTAAAAAAAGTTCTGAAATTTTTCTCATTATCAGTGCTAACAGGACAGGAATTCCACTGCACAATGAACGACTGAGTCCTACAAACATTAGCTGCTCTGAAACAAGCAACTGTACCTATCTCTCCCAATAGGTAATACTACCCCTTTGCTGTATGGCACTGCGACAAAACATGCCTGCAATAATATCACAAAAGATTACAAACACTGCAGTTTCTACTTAGTGGTACTGATTAATTCAGAAAAAACAGCATATTACAAAACTGTCAGCTACCTAAATACTGGGTTTAAACGTGACAGCTCTGTGAAGCTGCTGTGATTGCAGAAGGGAATGACCCAGTCCTGGCAAGACCTGTTTCCAGTTACGCTGGACTAGATCACATTTACGACAAGGTTCATGCACAACTGGAGTTTCCATGTGCTTGCAACTAAAGCATTAATGGATGTAAGTCACAAGCAACTGATTTTCTACATACTTCCCGGTTTCTGAAAACAATAAAGAAAAATGATGATTCAGAGGAAATCAAAACATCAGCTTCAGGTCATGAAACACAAAATGTAGGCTGGATTTTTTTTTTTTCCCCTACATTGCAGAGGTATCCAAAAGCATTAGATTTTAAGAGCTTTGGAAAGATTTATTTTCTTTTGTTGAAACATCAGTTACTGGCTACTGCTGAAAGGAAGACACCAAACCAACGAACCATTAGCTCGATTTGGTATGGCAACTCCTGCGTTCCTTTGATGCGGAAGCAAACTGCTTTGCTGACACACATACACACAGACTCTCTCGGGGTTTCTTCTCCCATCACTGGACAAGGTGTTTAAGCAATAACTCGTTAACGCTTGTATGAGCTCTACGTGTAAATCCTCTCCAATACTGATGGAAAAAGAAGAAGCCAGTGTTTTGCAAATGTTTCATCTAAAGCCCTGACACCACAGGAACTAGACCCTTCTATGCAAGATAAAGTAGTGAAATTATTTTATCCCTCTAAGTTTTTCAACAAATATTTTTTTCAAATTTTTCTCTTTAAGAGTGCATGACTTTGGGTGAAAAGGTTGCATGTTTCCCTGATTCTCAGGTATACAATTTTTCTTCTGAGCTACACAAAATGTAACGTAATAGAACGGACTGATTTATTTCTAATTACTGTTGCCAAAATGCACAAAAGAATAAGATGAAAGGCTTAACTGAAGAACTACCTTAAATAGCAAATTTGTGGATTTTCAGAGGATTTAACAACAGTATTATTTTGCTACCACAAAGTAAAAGCAAACCCCAAAATACATAAATTTAAAAAGAAACCAATGACTCCATAACAGAGTGAAATATATATACAAACTGCTGACTGGAAAAAAGCCTAAGCAGTGCACTTTCATTTTCTAAGGCTGAAAAACAATCTGAACCAATGAAAAACTAAGTTTAGCCTTGCTCCATATCAAGTTTATAGCAACATCTTCTAATATATTCTGTGTATGTCAAGCACACAAAAGAAAGCCCCAGATTTAATAGCCACGTCTTATGTTTAAAGCTTGCAACTCAAGCAAGCAATTGTTGCGTCTCCTGTCAGGTGCTATTTTCATCAAGTTGCTGTTTGTGTTTAAATTTGAAAATCCTTTCAAACTAATCCCATCCTAGTCAGTAAATGCAACCATTCCTGTGGCAAGGTAAGTATTTATTACCTAGCTCGGCACATCGGAAGCTAAATTGCTGCAGAGCAACCGCTAATAACCTCATTATCCACTGGGGCCATGCAGATAGTATGGCACAGTACCTACACAAGGGATGCTTAAAATTATTTATGAGGTTTTAAAATCGATGTCCTGCAAAGCAAAAATTCAAAAAAACATTAATGAAACGCCCTAATAAGCATAACGGCTGTGTGCTGGATTCAGCCAG